TAACATAGGCCTTTCAATGCCTGGTAATTTATTTTCTCACATGGATAGGCCAGCCTACATTAAAGGTTTCTCCTCTGTTAGGTTTATAAAATGATTTGTAATTAGTGATTCTATAAATAAGGGAATGTAACTTTCTTTACTCAAGCATCAGGCTTCACAAAGGACTACATTTATGTCATACACAAATAGTTTGAGATGATTACACTTGATTCTAAATTTTATTTTCACAGTTAAAAAACTGAAATTGTGGGGCTGGCCTTGTGGCCTAGTGGTTAAGTTTCTACGCTCTACTTCGGCGGCCCAGGGTTTCACCAGTTCAGATCCTGGGCACGGACATGGTAACACTCCTCAGGCCATGCTGAGGTGGCGTCCCACACAGCACAACCAGAAGGACCTACAACTAGAATACACAACTATGTACTGGGGAGATTCAGGGAGAGAAGAAGAGAAAAAGAAGATTGGCAACAGATGTTAGCTCAGGTGCCAATCTTTAAAAAAAAAAAAAAAAAAACACTGAAATTGTGCTGCACCCTTATGGCAGCTCTAATTATCAAGGACCTGCAGCTTAGAGACGCTGGTTCTTTACTAGCCAGTAACACTGATGTGACATCGCATTTGATGACAGAGCCTGCCCACCACACTCACACCTGATAAGCACACTGTGTGGATTAGAGAGTTTTCAGAGAAACAGAAGAAAAAATCATTTTCTACCCTGTTTTAGATGCCACAGGTATATCAACTAATTAAAATAAGATTTCTCTGAAGAATGTGGGATGTATTTAGTGTTTCCATCAAATAATTATTCTGCCACGATCTGCAAGACAGAAACAGACCTGGTTACATTTTTCTTATCTCCTGATGAAACTCCCCCCAGTAGGGTACCAACAGGGTCCCCATCTCCCAGAAGACAGCTCTGACATAGAATATCAAAGATGGATGTGAGGTGATCATAACAATTAGGCCATATGGCCTAAAAAATGGTCATGTTAACACATTCACATTATATCATATATGGGAATAAATATAATTTATATGTGAATATATTTATAATATACTTAATTGTACACATACATTATATCTTAAAATATAACATCAAATTCCTTTATCTAAAACTGAAGTCTAGCTGACATACTACAATTTAATCCTGTAGCTTTCATTAACATCATGAGAAACAATGTGACCCCAATCAAGCCTTGATAATCCTTTAAGTTTTAAAAGCTTGCTTTATAAAATATATGACTTCGTCTTTTGGGAACCTAGATGATGACCAGGACAAAGTACATGGCTAATGGAGTAGATCTACAGAATGCTACAAACCGACCAAAACAACGTGGCTGCTTTACAGAAAGGAATGACACTCTGCCACAGAGTTAGAGCTGTGGCACCAGAGCTTGGCATCACAAGGAAAACAATCTTCTAAAATGCCCCAGGACAATATATTTGTGATGGTTAATCTTATCTGTCAACTTGACTGGGCCTCTGATGCCCAGATATTTGCTTTTGGTCAAACATTGTTCGGGGTGAGTCTGTGATGATGTTCTTGGATGACTTTGATATTTGAATTGATAGACTGAGTAAAACAGATTACCCTCCTAATGTGGGCGGATCCCATCCAATCAACTGAAGGGCTGAATAGAACAAAAAGGCTGACTTTCATGAGCAAGGAAGAATTCTTCCCACCTGACTAGCTTTGAGCCAGAACTTAGCTTTTTCCTGCCTTTGGACTTGAAATGAAACATCGGCTCTTCCTCAGTCTTGAGCCTGCAGGTCTTTGGACTGGAACTACACCATCTGCTCTCCTGGGTCTCCAGCTTGCTGACTACAGATCTTGGGACTTCTCAGCCTCCACAATCACATGAACCAATTCCTTATAATAAATCATACACATGCACACACATACAGTTACGTGTTGCTTAACAATGGGGACACATTCTGAGAAATGCATCCCTAGGTGATTTTGTCATCATGCAAACACCATAGAGTGTACTTACACAAACCTAAATGGTATAGCCTACTACACACCAACACACCTAGGCTATATGGTACTAATCTTATGGGACTACCATTGTATACACAGCCCATTGTCGACTGAAACGTTGTTATGCAGTGCATGACTGTATATTTACATATCATATATTTAATATATTAAATACACACGCACACATCTTATTGGTTCTTTTTCTCTACAGGACTCTAATAAAACATTATAAGAAAAAATAAAACCTTAGGTACATAGACACCAGTGAAGTAAAGCTGGGGACACCTCATTCAGCACCAAGACAACAAAGGGGAAGAGGCCACAGCAGCTGACAAATGGTGACACTACTAGAAAGTATGTGAAATTTGAAAATACAACATGCTTCAAATATACCTACTTGGTCAAAGAGGCCTCGAACAAGTCACCAAAAATGTAGATGAGATAGGATGGCAGGGAGTATTGACAGCGGGAAAGACTGAATAAGAGAAGCCCTACTCACAGACAATCATAACTTCTTTTTCCCTGAAAAAATTATCATTCACACAAATTTAAACAGATGTCCCCTTTCCAGTCTATGTCAACTCACGCCATTGCCCCCTCCCTCCAAGGCTAGAGCTTGACCACACCCACACCCCACTGCTGAACCTCAAATCCTTATCAAATATGCTAAGTAATAGCTAATCAAGCTGTAAAGAATTTTGCCTTTTCATTCTTTTTGATTTAAATGCCTTGGCATTCCCGAACAATCTTAGAAACTTTAGAGCCTGTGTTCGCACAATACTGATGCATACTTAAAACCAAACTTGTGATAAAGACCTGACTATCTGCTCAGGTTTTGGGATTAGTGCTCAGAAGTCTTTTATCCCATCCCCACCAAGCTCCCCACCAAAGTTTTCCATTTTTTTGTTTGTTTGTTTGTTTGTTTGTTTTTTTGGAGGAAGATTAGCCCTCAGCTAACTACTGCCAGTCCTCCTCTTTTTGCTGAGGAAGCCTGGCTCTGAGCTAACATCCGTGCCCATCTTCCTCTAGTTTATACGTGGGACGCCTACCACAGCATGGCTGCCAAGCAGTGCCATGTCCGCACCCGGGATCCAAACCAGTGAACCCCGGGCCGCCGAGAAGGGGAACGTGCGAACTTAACCGCTGCGCAACCGGGCCGGCCCCCTAAAGTTTTCCATTTTTTGCTGGCTCAGTACTTATAGTTTGCAGGAAAGAAGGCTAATTCTAAAATAGGTATGTAGCCTGGGCGGGGCTGGCCTCAGTCTTCTGTATATTTTTGTGCTTTTCCTGTCCTTGCACATCTCTTCTTCTCCTACTTTAAACGTCTTTTCTTCCCAGGGGTTAGGAACAAAGGTTCTAGAGTCAGACTGTGGGACTGAATACTCCTCCCAACACTTATTAGCTGTGTGTGGCCCTGGGAAAGTTATTTACCTCCTTGTGCCTTAGTTTCCTCAGCAGCAAAATGTAAAACATCATAGTGTCTGGCATGTAGGATTGTAAGGATGAAATAAATTCAAGTACATCAAGTTCTTGAAGCTGTGCCTGGCACGTGGTCCACGTTAGAAAGTCAGCCCTTACTAACCCTGTGGATGCTCTTAGCTATTCTTCTGGACCCAACAGGTGCTAAGTTGCTTCTGGTTCTTTCATAGCACTTACTGTGCTGTAGAGAAAGCACCCATTTACCAGCCTGCGTCCCCTCAGACTGGGCAGGAATCATACTTGTCTTTTTCATTATCTTTGCCAGCACCCAGTGTGCTGTTTGGCACACAGCAGGTACTCAATGACTGTGGAGTGAGTGTTCGAAGGGATGATCTATTCTAACAAGGAGAATGTGGTACCTAAGGGTTGCTGTTTATGAACGGCCATGGCAAAGCAGTAAAGTGAAGTTCCAGTTAGAATTCTGCGAAGAAACATCATTCGTCCTTTTGGTATATGACCAGGTCTGGGGATTTTTAATTTGTCTAAATTCATTTGCTTTAAAATCTTTCAAATAAAGTCACTTTGTTTACAAACTTGTCCCTCTTAATGGCACAGAGAAGTAAGCATAACAAAGCTGACTGAATCAATGTTTCTTTGGTCCCAGGGGACCAAAATTCTGGAAATATTTATGAGCAAGCTCATAAGGTTGCATTTAATTATCAACTGCACATAACGCATAACTGCTACTATCCCAGAGTCATTAAGAAAGGTCTTTCCAAGTACAAACAAGGGCAAAGCATCAACAGATCCAGGACAAGGCAGAAGTTACAACTGCAGTATTGAGGCCTGGCTCCCCAAAATGGAACTCCCCTTAAATATGGAAGGGAAAACAAGATGACCAGAAGACTAACCTGCTCCCAGTTATGTGATCTGACCTCAGTTTCAAAAGACCTTCTGTGGAAAGTACTCTTCTCGTGAAACATTCTGTTAAAAAGCAAGCCCCTGAGACACAGTCCTAGTTCCTCTGAATAAGCCCCAAGGTGTTCACTGAGGCGAGACAGGAAGGAGAAGACAGACAGACAGACAGGTGTGCACGCACGCATGTCCCGTTCCAGACACAGTTAAGAAACTCTGAGCCTGAGCAAAAGCCTGAGCCCTTTTCCTGTGTGATTTCTGTGACTCCCATATGAAATATGCACAGATGTTTCTGTCAGATCACAGATGTCACCATCAGGTCAGTTAATAAAAGCCATATTCTCCAGTTACGCATAAAGAAAAACATGTAAGAAAGGAACTCAAACATGCTAATACTCTGTAACAGAAAAGAATAGCTGAATTCACATTTTGTTTCCTGGCCACATACACTTCTTACTTAGTAAAAGGAATTTGGGAAGATGAGTCTAAGTTCACCTGGCTACTATTTAGAATGAGGAAGGCTGAGGAGCCTCCTGGATAACAGTACTTCTTTGTGGTGGGAAAACAGCGCACCTGAATCGGATATTAAGTGAAATGAGTTACTCCAAAAGAAAGATTCCTGAAAGGTTCAGCTGGTTTAGTGATACAAAAAGTGCACCGGGGAGCAGGCACCCCACAACCTACTCACCACAATATCCTCAGGGAACGTGTCTCTGCTGAAGGAGCCATCATCAAACACGACCTCGTAGAAGGTCTGCGAGGTCACGGCCATCACTCGGCAGCTGTAGTACCGGGTGTTCCGATGCTTCGTGATGACTGTCTGGCCCACGGAGATGCCCTTCTCACCAGCCTTGGACTTCTAAAGAAGAGGCAAGAAAAAGGAGAGAAAATAAAAGAAACATTTATTTGGAAAACAGTCATTGACTTGGTCATATTTTTTTAAATTTTTTAACTTTTTATGGGGAATAATTTCAAACTTAAAAGTTGTAAGAACATGAACGGTACAAAAACACCTATATACTCTTTGACCCTTTACCTGCACTCATCTATTTTTATCGATTGCTATTAACATTTTACTATTTCCTTCTTTTGGCATATTCTTTCTATGTTTTATATATGTATATATGTAAATATATATGTGTGTGCATATATGAATATTAATAACCCCCTGAACCATTTGCAAATAAGCTACATACGTCATGGGCTTTTACTCCTAAATATGTCAGTGTGTATTTCCTAAGAATAGGGATTTTCCTTTACATAACCACAGTACAGTTACTAACTTCAGTAAATTTAACATTGATAAGATATTTTAATATACAATGCATATTCCAATTTTGTCAACTAAGCCAATAATGACCTGTATGGCACCAGCCTCCTCCCCTGCTCTCAAGTACAGGGTCCAGCCTAGAGTCGGGTATGGCATTTAGTTGCCACGTGTCTTTAGTCTCCTTTAATCCGGAACATTTCCACAGCTTTTCTTTGTCTCTTATGACTGTGATAGTTCTGAAAGATACAATTCTACCTCCCCATGCTTTTTCAGTGGAACATTTGTCTGATGTTTCCTTATGATTACATGCTGTTACAGATTCCTAGCCAGAATACCACAAAGATGATGTATTCTTCTCAGGACATCACACCTGGAGGCACATGATGTTTGTCTGTCTCTCAGTGGTGATGTTGACTTTGATCCTGGTCAACTGTGTGGTCCAGTTTCTCCACTTTATAATTACTATTTTTGCTTACAACTAATAAGTAATCTGTGGGAGAACCGTTAACACTATGCAAATATTCTGTCCCTATACACTTCTATAGAGTTAGCGTCCATTGATGAGTCTTGCCTGACCCAATCTTCTATGATGGTGGTGATATGCTGATTTTTCTCGCTCCAGCACTCCCCCCACACTTACTAGTTGACACTTAGCATTTGTTAAGTAAGAGTCTCCTTCTCTCTCCACATTCATCCATTCATCCGTCTGTGCATCCATCCATCCATTATCAGTTATGGACTTAATTCCTCTTCCCCCATTGTTTTAACTCATCTTTAATTATTTTCGTGCTCAGAGTATCCCAGATTTGGCCAACAGAAGCCTCTTCAAGCTTTTTCCTGTGTCTTTTAAACATCTTTTTTTTTTTTTACCAGTTCCCTACTTTCTGACCAACAAGATGTCCCAGGATCATCTTGCCCCAGCCCTGGATTTAGCATTTCCTCAAGGAAAGTGGGTTGTTTTAGAAGGCAGTGATATTAAAGACCTAGATCCAGGTGCTCAGGTGTACTTATTACTACAAGGGTATCTTTGCTTCTTGACTCTCTCAATAGACAGAGTAAGGAAATATATGCATGTATACACACGTATGCATACATATACACATGTACGTATATGTGTATAAATACGTACGTAGCTATGTTAGAAATTCTGCATCATGGTGATATCCCCACAGGGTTCTTTCTTGCCTTCCCCCATTCCATCTTTGCATGTCCTTACTTTCTCAGTGAGAACCTTGGTAAAACAACATGAACCCATTTACACATTTGCTCAATCCTAAAATACACCCAGCTACTTTTTGAAAACCTGTAGCAGAGCTGATAATTTTAGACAAGAAAAACGAGCCTGCAAGACAAACTACTTCATTTCTAAATTAAACACTAGGGTAAAGTTCAATTATCAATTCGATAACAGCTGGATAGTCAGGATGGGCTGCACGCTTCCCTAAGAACACGGGCATGAGTTGTAGACTCCACCTTTACTTCCTTTTTTTCTTTCCATTCCTCTCTTTCCACACATGTTCACGGCCTCCTGGAACACCACGACTAGGTCTCAGGGTGTACACATCATCTGGTGGCAGCATAAGACTTTGGGATAAAAGCCTTCTCTTGAAAATGCTTGGCAGAGTGCCTGGCTCACAGTAAGTCCTCCAGAAATGATTGTTATATTATGGGTGTTTTGTTTTTCAGGATAAGACTTTTGCTCCCCTTTCAGGAACTCCTACAAATCCATTCCTGCCAGGCAAAGATGGTAGTCAACATCTTATGCAGAAATCTGCTCTCCAGCTCTGGGACCCCTTTCCTCCCCAACTCCAAGTCTCATTCATTGATCTGATTCATTTGATGCCACAAGCTCTGACCCACTAGAAGAGACCCTGAATCAAGCACTTGGGAAGGTCCAGGCCCTTAGCTAAATGGGTCCTGGAAGACATGGTCTCATAATCACTAAGATACTAACATTAGTCTAACACATTGTCTACACCTCCAGAAAGCCAGGACTCATTAAATCCCAGTATTTCCCAGCAGGGGTATTTAGAACATCACCAGAAAATAAAGTGTCATCATTCAGCATATCAGTTCTATTAAAGGCTTTACCTTTTTGCCCTGAATTTCAAGAAAGGCTAAAACATCCTGTAGGGGACAAAGTGTTATATTTGATCTTTACCTTCCAGAAACCAAAGAAGACATGTCCACAGAGTCTTTAATTCACTAATTCCTTCAACAGTTATTCCTTCAACTTGTTATACTAGCCAGCGGGCACCAAGCACCTCTTCTGGTGCTGGGGACTCAAATATACAAAAACCACTAAAATTCTTGATCCCTGTTCCCTGAAAACAGGCCCACACAGGTATGTGCCATGAAGCCATCATAGAGATGCACGATGGAAGACTGATGGGATGTATTCTAGCACGCCATCTTGAACATGACTTTGTATTCATGGGCAGAATTAGGGCAGGAGGGCAATGAAGCACAGAGTGATGGGCATGAGCAAAGACCTAAAAGCAGGAAACAGCCTGTTCTGTTCTGAGAACTGTGAGAGGTCCTGCTGTTGTGTGGGAGGGGAAGAAGAGGTAGGAGGAGAGTGTAGAAATGGCCTAGGGCCCAGAGGTCAGGCTATGGGGGGAAGATGAGGGGAGGGCAGTTCTTAGGCCATCCTAAGGAATCTAGACATCATCCTGTGAGCCTATGAAGCCACTGAGAGGTTTAGGTACAGAAGGAAAATGATGCAGTTCTATGTGGCTACAGGTGCAGAAGGGGCTGGTGGAGCTTATTGCAACAGTCCAGGTGGGAGACGAGGGCCTGGAGTAAAGAACTGAGGACAAAGATGCTCATGATTTGGATAAGAGGCAACTCTCCCAAAAATGTGTTGCTAAGGGTCTGCTACTTGTAGAGTGGGCCCTGCCATCTAGTTTCTCAAATGCCTAACAAAACAAAAGGATATTTTCCTCCTTGAAATCATTCCCTAGTGAATGCTGGGTTATTTGGGAAAATTTTTTATACCTTTAGGTATAGTTAGGTGTGTAAACATCTTGACAAAAAACAACAGTAAGAAGCCTGTAGTGGTTTGAATGTGCTATGCTTGAAGTAGAAGTCTTTACTTTAACATCAAGGCCATAGTATGTGACATATGCTGAAATAATTACCTCGTTTCCTACCTCATTTCTCTGTCCAACCCATTTAAATATATCTAACCTGTCAAAGTAAGAGAAGGATTTAGAGGTAATAATAAATACAAACAAAGGGACAGTCTGCAGAGTTATCTAACTCCAAAATTAGGCCTATGACTGCTATGTAAGATTATAGGTTACCAGTAACTCTAGGAGGTGAAATCCACAACCTGTGTGGCCACACACAGTGGCTCTGAGCGACCTGAATTAGAGCCAAACAGAGCTTCATCTCAGCAACTCTCTTTGGTAGATGTACCTCTGTCAAACTGGTGCAAAAATACTCATGGTCAGAATGCAAGTACTGTATTTTACTATATATTAGTTCCTTTTGCATATGTTATTACAACTGAAATTCATCCTCCAAGGAGACAATGGTTTGGATTTGAATTCTAAGCTGTTTCTTACTAGCTGTGTGATCTTGGGGATGTTTACTTAACTTCTACCAGCCTCTGTTTGCTCATCTGTAGAAGGGAAACAACTTACAATGACGGTTTGCTGTAAAACAGGATGAAGTCCACAAAATACCTAGCCTCACAGGCAGCTTGTTCTCAGCAAATGTTAACTGGCTTCATTTTAGGAAATGGAGAACATACCTAAGACCCTAGCCCCAGGTTAATAAACCACTCTTCCCTATTGTACTCAGCAATTGGCATGTATGACTGCTCAGCACCCTGATTTCATATGACAAGACTCAATCCAGCATCACCGTCATGCTCTCTGCCTCATCCACTCCTGACTCTAACTCTTGTCAAATGTGGGCACAAAGTGATGGTCCTTAGGAAAGAAGGCATAATGAGGTCTCCTCCCCGTCACCCCTAAAGCTCCCAAAGCCTTTGTTTACAAGTCTCTTAAAGCCCCGGCCAAATGTCACTTTCATTTACTGTCCCTCCTACGACAGGAAAATCCATGGGTCAGTGTCTTTTTATCCACGGCACCCAGCACAGCATGTACAACATTGTTGCTGCCAGACAAACAATGAATGAATAAAGGAATGAATGAACTAATCAATGAAAAGCTGAATGAAGGAAGTGTGAGGACAGGTACGGACACATTTTCAAAATGGGAGAGGACTGATTCTAAGCATTCACTGTTCAGAAAAGGGCAAAGAGACATAAAGGGGAGTTTTAGGAAGACGTTCCTCTCTTTAGGGGTGAGTAGGCATGTATGCAGGTTAGAGGGAGGGAATAAAGAAGGCTTATGGTGAAATTCACAGGGTGTGGAAAACGGAAGCAGCCAGTAAAGGGAGAAGAAAGGTGATACAGGCTTGATAGAGAAAAGGTTGACTCTAGACCACAACCATCTTTTTTCCTGCTTAGGACCTGAAATTTATGCAAATTGACCGGTTGGAAAGATGGCCAGCACACAAATTAAATTCACAGCCTTCATCTAAATAAAAATTTTCATAAGCTTCAAGCATGACCATTT